TCACTTCCTTCAACAGTTAATGAACACACATCTGGACCGACCCTTAACACGCCCAACTTCTCTGCAGTGTTCTTTCCGAGCAGAGATCTTCCTGGATCTTTAACCACTGTGAATTCGTCCACACAACTGTTGCCACTGATCTCGCACACAATCTCAGACACAAATGTCCCAATTACCTCCATAGGATCTTTCTGTCCATAAGCAAACAACTTTTTGCTTGATTTCTTGGACTCACACTGAACACTCTTCTTCTTCAAAACTTCCCAGGTTGCTTGATCAATCACATTGCACGACGCTCCAGAATCAATAAGTACCCCTGGTAACGTCACTCCCACAACCTTCAAATCAACTTCACTACCACTTGTAGGCTGACTGACTCCAACTGTAAATGTATAATAATCTTGTTGTCCAGTGGCTGAATCCTCTGATAGTTGATAGGCTCTACCCCGTGTATTATTCCTTCCCTCGTCATCCCTTGTAAGACGTTTGCGTTCCTTTGTTTTGCAACAGACTGCAAAATGTCCAATCTCGCCACATGCATTACATTTCTTGCTACAGGCAGGACAATTCGGGTCACCTGCCATTTGGTCAGTGTAATTACAGCCAAAACAGCCCCTTACTTTTGTCTCCTGAGAACCACCCGACGGTTTACCAGGCTTATTTCCTCAGTTTCTACCCTGCGCTGTCCCTTTTCCTTTTCCTTTGCTGTGAGGTTGCCGGAAACAGCATTCACCTGATGGGATGACTGATCCATAGCCTTGACCTGCATGTTCACTGCTTCCTGTACACGAGCCAAATCTTGTAAATCCTTCAGAGTAGCATTTGTTTTCTCAAGGAACTTACGGCGAAGTCTGGGGTCCCTGCATCTCTCAATAAGCTGATCCCTTATTGCCTCATCAACATTTTCAAACTCGCAGAAGATCGCTGTCTGCCTCAACCGACAAACAAACTGATCCACCGACTCTCCTGACGCTTGCTCCATTTGCCTAAACTGATGCCTTTCGAATGGAACATTCAACTGCGGTGCAAAATAGTTATCCAACAACTCCATACTCTCAGCGAACAGTTTGATTTCCGTACCGGTCAATAACGTGTAATAAAGCTCCCGAAAATTCAACCCTCCAGTATGCAACAGCAATGCGGTTTTCTGTTCATCTTTCGTAATCCCTTTTGCCACCAAATACAGATTGAACGAGCGTTTCCACAACTTCCAGCGAACTGCAAGGGTATTCAGATCTTCCTTTGGATTGAAGGGAGGAAGGCTGGCCACATCAAGTAGAGGAACAAACGTTGTGGTTGGCGAAGCTTGCGAACTCGAAGCTGTACTCGAAGTGGTTCCACTGTCGTGCGTCATCTTCCTGACAAAATACTAGGACTTTCCGCACAAATGACTTCCAAAACATCCACTACCTCACAAAACGAATTGAATCCTCGTCGCCAATGTAACAATGACGCTCGGATGGCCGTGTAATAAACCAGATTTAACTATAAAAGGAATTACACCTTATTCGGCCGCCATGACACCCGGAAAGCGTGGCCCACACAAATATCCATGATCCTTTGCATGTTTACAGTAACCGAGAACTTCCGCTAACACAACTTCTGGTAGACAATACTATCGATACATTACAGCTATCACAGTAGGTGCAAAAGAAGCCTGCGTCCCTTTTGGTTTTAATTGTTGACAATCGTCTTCACAGTCAACTCGTTGTGTTCCGCAATGCAAAAATCAAAATCACTTTTGTCACAGTGATTTATACCAGCTAAACAATTTTTGCGACTCTCAAACTTGATACATATTCGTCTGTTCAAACTCTTATCGATTTTACACGTACACTCCTGACATTCCCATTTGTCATTGCGACGATAAGGTCCATGGTCTTTAAATTCCTTGAAAATTTCCTTTTCTTTGAGTTTGCAGACCAGCCCATTTTGAAAACACTCCCTGTTATTTTAGTGTGGGCTACCGCAAACCATGTGTGCATTTGTAAGTTTAACCCTCGATAACATACTTCAACAATAGGTTCTTCGAAACACCGTCGCCAAATTTTATCCAAACTACTTCTTACTGCTGCTTTGAAAATTTTCGGATCAAATGACATCATCGGATTACTACCATCCTTGAAGCGCGACAAATTCTGCGCGTAGTTTCACATTTCAACCTGTCAGTTTGGGCCAATGAAACGTTGTTGATTAGTCTCAGTAGTGAAATTGACAACGTTTTTGGCGCCGAACGAACATGTTTTCATCACGTGCTGTCTAAGTTTTCAGGTTTTCTGTGAGAGCATATTCTTGTTTTTGAAGTCTGCATGTGTCAATATGATATGGTGGCCCATAGATACGGTGATGCAAATTCGAGTTCAAATTGGAGATACTAGAAGAGTTTTTTTATGAATCCGCCTTGGAGTGTGTGAGGATTTAAAAAAAAAAACATTTTGCGTGAGATTCCGAAGACAAGTTTTATGGATTTTGGTTTACTTTACGAAAACGATAAAGGAAAATATGTAGTGTTGAATGGCGTTCGCATAGCAGACATTCGCCTCGCTTTGCTTGTTTACTTGTTTGTTTACGTTAGCACGTATTGCGTGCCTATTACACTTTTGCGTCAAAACAAGTCGATTTACTCTATTTGGGCCACGCCCAAATAATAACGCTGGATACAAAATCAAGAGAGTTTCAAAACAAAGTACTTCATAGAATCTTTTATACTGTGGACCGGACACTTGATCACACAAGCCCCCAGTTGTATCCAGGGATATATGTTGCTTTTGTCACTTCGCTAACCTTTTCTGTGTCAACCTGCGCCGCAGAACACAGTTTTAGCGGCATGAAGAGGCTGAAAACCCCTCCTCAAAGCACTATGAGTGACAAGTGGCTGTCCTCTTTGGCAATACTCCACATACACAAGCACAAGACTGTGGATATTAACAAAGTAGTTTCCGAATTCTTCCAATATAAAGGGAGACGTTTCACCTTTTTCCTGTAGCACATTAACAGTTTCTAATACACTAATATACACTTATATCAGTAGTAGTACCAAAGGTTGACAAATAAACAACAAAAAAGTTACTGAAAAGTTTTGTCATGTCTTTTTCCAGTGAATTTTAATTATATTAATGTATTTTCTTTGTTTGCGAGCAGGACCAAGGTGGGGTTAGTCGGCTTTCGTGTGGATTTTTTTCCCCTTTTGTAGCTTGATAGTTCAGTTTGATGCTGTTGCATAAACAAGTTTTCAAGTATTGAGTATCGTCGATATATTTGTATTTAATCGTGATGGAGCAGTGAAAGGAAACAGTGGATTAAAACAAGATTTACTAATGACACAAGGACTAGAAATTTCTGCCAAGTGTGTGACCTTCTCATCAAAGTACATCACATTTTCCTCAAAATTTTCGAAAGTAAACGAGGTTAAATCAAGAGTTACTTACGGAGATATATGCTGTTTGGAGGTACATTTGTATTTGTAACATCTGCATGTTCGTTCTGTTATAAAAGGGAGATGGCAGACAGCCAGCGAGGAGAGTGGGGAATTGATTAAGTTAAAAGCAGAAGGGAGTTAAATGCAGTTGCCGATAATTTGGCTGTTTCTGAAAGAATTGCTGCCTTGAAGAAATCAAAAGCTGGCCATCTTGGAGAGTTAACCAAGATTTATCGTAGACTTGATGAGTATTTGACAGATCACAAATTTGCCATTGCAGTTCCCGAAGACTCACATCGCTTGGATAATCAGTGGAAACAATATTCGCGTGTGTACTATCCATTTATTGCACGAGAGTGAACACAAATGAAACTACTGCTTCTATCTTGAGATAATAGACCAATATATCGCTTCCGAAGAAGGGATTGCAAATGTTTCCAAGACAGGAGACAATATGGAAGATGATGAAATGATGCAACTAACCAAAGAACTTTCAGCTAATGTACCACTATCCAAGCGCGAGGATGATTTTAGAAGTATTTTCTCTGTTTGTTCAAAAGGGTCTAATGTTTCCAGATCAAGTGCAGCTGCTCATGAAAATGCAAGGTTACAGAAAGTTCTTTCTCAGAAAAAGGTGGAACAATTAAAAAGAGCTAAAGCAAGGAGATTAAAGGAAGAACAGTTAAAGTTAGAAAACCAGATTTCAGAAGCTGAGGATGCTGTGGAATTGGCTTAAACCAACGTTCAATTTTATGAGGAGCTTGAAGATCCCCTTGGAGGTTCTATTAGCAGAACAAATAGTGTACAAGACCTAAACTGTGAGGAACAGCTTAAAATATTAAACCAAAACGCATCATTAAGGAATCAATGGAAGAGAAAGAAAGCTGGAAATTGTGGAACATAAACCCAAGGTTAAGGATGAGAAGACAGAATTGCAGGAATCACTTGCGGAGAAATCACTACCTGCGATGGTTCCTTTATTTAGCTCAACTTCAGGTGGAGCAGCAATGTCAGAGCCTAGTGTTAAGGAATGTAGTCTGAATCCGGAAGCAACCCCCTTTACTAATGGAGCTTTACCGTGCGATCGAGTTTGCCAGCCTGGTAGTGTGTTGTTTCCCACACCTGCAACTGAGACTATGATGGCAAAGCTTACAACCAGTAAAGCCTCAATAGGAACTAAATCTAGTCTCCCTCCTTTGGATGTTCTCAAATTCTCTGGTAATGCTTGTGAATATTTCAGATTCAAGTCACGTTTTGATGAAATGGTTGATACCCAGAACATTTCAGAAGCTCAGAAAATGTCGCATTTGTTGCAGTTTCTTGATGGCCCAGCTAGAAGTGCTGTTGCGGGTTTTGAAGGAGTGCCTGGTGGGCTAGGTAAGGCCCTAAAAATGTTGCAGCAACGTTTTGGACAATCGCACATTGTGGCAAAGGCATGTGTTGATGCTTTAGTTGATGGACCGAACATATCAAACAACGATGGACAAGGGCTGCAGGAATTTGGCTACCTCTCAAGGACATTGTATGAGACATTAAGACCACTCAATGCCCGTCAGAAATGAACATGTCAAATTTGGCGAAAATGTTGGGAAAGCTACCTGTTGTGCTACAGATTAAGTGGAGAGATGAGGCTCTGAGAATTAGAGAAAGAAAAGGTTTCTCAACCCTTGAAGATCTAGTGGAGTTTACTGAAAGGCATGCTAAAGCAGCTAATGACCCAGTCTTCAGAAGGGTTGGGAAGACGAACCAATTCTTCCAAAGAAGGAACCCAAGAGCCACTCGACAACCATTACCTCCAAGTCTTTATGCGGTGGCCGGGCCCAAGACAACGATGGCAGATAAGGATTCAAATTCTTCAATGCTGAATGTAAAACGTTATGACTGTGAGTCTATACATGAGACAGAGCACTGTCCTGATTTTATAAACAAATCTATAACGCAGAGAATAGTCTTTGCAAGGTACAAAGGACTTTGTTTGAACTGCTTACACAAGGGACACTTTGTTAGTGAGTGCTAATCAACCTTTTTAAAGGTTGTCAACAACCACACCATTCCTTATTACACAAACGAACAGAGGGAAGGGGGAGGGAACGTTGGCGAACCCTAAAGAAGGCCCAGGGCCGAGTGAGCAAGCAAATGTGAATACTGTAACAACAGCACCTGTTGAAGCACCAAGTCGCAGGTACTCCACGACCTCAAGGACTAAGGTTGCATTATATGTTGTTCCAGTTAAGATAATGAGCAAAGAAGGAGACTGTTACTACTTATGCACTGCTTAATACTGGGAGCGAAGAGACATTTCTCTCCAAGGCTATTTGTGATAAACTTGGGTTACAAGTAAGCAACTGTGACACTGGCTGTGTGAACATTGTCAGGCGAGTCCTCAATTAAAGTTGGTCAAGCTAATGTTCAAGTGAAAGCTGTTGATAGCCGGGACAATCGTACCCTAGCAATTGAAAACGTTAAAGTTGTAGACAATCTTAACATCACTACCAATTTCGATTAAAGGCTTGAGTTGCAAGCAGCGACCTTATTTGAGAAGATGTACAGAGTGCTTGAAGATGAGCTGACTTACAAAGATAAGCAAGGCTACATTTTGGTCGGATTCTCAGACGACGTTGCAGTATATTGAGAATGAATATAAGCGATTTCAGACATGCTAACCATGTGGCTGAAATATGTCAAGTTACATCACCTTACCAATGGAGGCACTGCCCAGGAAACGTTAACTCTGCCGATGATGCTTTGTGTGGCTTAAAACCTGAGAAATTTTCTTGTCAACATTGATGGTACAGAGAACCTAAATTCCTTTGGGAGGCAGGGAAGTGCTGGCCACGTGTAGTAACATGTGGAGAAGTACCAGACCGTGACCTGGAAGAGGCGAATTTCAGCAAATGTTCACCGTGTAGCATTCATCCCACCGAGTGAAGTGAGAAGATATTCGCGCAGGTTTAAGTTGGCCATGTAGAGTGGATAGTGCGATTTTGCCAGTGGCTCACTGATATGAGGATTGCCCGTTCTACCGGACCACTGATTTTAGAGGAACTTAATCAGTCAACTCAAGTAATTGTTCGCTGTGTTCAAAATGAAAGCTTTCCTGAAGATGTCAAGGAACTGAAGCTGAATAAGGAAGTCGAGAAATGTACCAAGCTGGGAAACCTGAGACCAGTATAAGTAGATGGAGTACTATGGTTAGGAGGACGATTGCAGAAAGCCGTGGTACTCTTGTGGGACGAAACATCCAATGGTTCTACCAAAGCGCCATCACGTGAGCCAGTTGATTGTTCATCACTACGACGAGTCTGCTGCTCATAGTGGAAGAGAGCAAACTGTGTGAACTGCCAACAATGTCCTGGATTATTGGTGGAAGAGGTCTAGTGAAGAAGACTATTAGAAGCTGTATCAGGTGCCAAAGAATGAATGCTAAACCCTTGGAGCAGTTTATGGGGTTGCTACCAAGAGCAAGGCTAGAGGCGTACCATCCTCCATTTACTTTTACTGGTGTTGACTTGTTTGAACCACTAACGGTTGAGTGGGGCCACGGAACTGCAAAAAGATGGGGATGTTTGTTTGCGTGTCTTGTGACTTGTGCTGTGTATTTAGATGTAACGCCCTCACTTGAAACAGATGATTTCATCATGATTCTCCGCCAATTCGTAAGTAGAAGAGAACCACCTAAAGAGACTTGGTCTGAGAGGAGCACTTTGTAGGAGCCAACAGAGAGCTGAAAGAGTCTATTGCGCTTTGGAATGAAGAAAAGATTGATCACAAACTGCAGCAGAAGGGTATCAACTGGGTCTTTCAGCCTCCTGCTGCCCCCCATATGTCCGGAATTTGGGAACATCTTGTGAAGATTATGAAGAAGCATCTAAAGAACACAGTTACAGATAGGCTATTCATTGACATTGAACTTAGAACACTGCTAGCTGAGGTGGAGTCCACAGTTGATAACCATCCCATAACTGCTGTTTAAGATGATCCTAAAGATTGTTCAGCGCTGACACCAAACAATTTCCTTCTTCAGAGAGACATTCAACTTGCAACCAGTGTATTTGTGAAAGAGGATTTGTTTTCCAGGAAAAGATGGAGAAAGGCGCAGTTCCTTGTGGATCACTACTGGAAGAGGTGAATAGAAGAATATTCGACTACTCTTCAGAAAAGACCAAAGTGGGTCAAGTCAAGGAGTAATGTGCAGATTGGTAACCTGGTACTTTTAGCAGAGGATAATGTGTCGCTTAACAGATGGCTAATGGAACGGGTGATAGAAGTGTTTTGCGGAGAAGACAGAGGAGTATGGTCTGTCAAAATCAAAAAAGCAGGCGGCTTGTTCCACCGTCCTGTGACGAAGATATGCCTGATGGAGGAAGCTTCTTAAATGGACATGTTTGTTGAGTTTTTTAAAGACACTATTTAAGTTAAACAAATGAACTGCTAATTACAGGCCTTTACACTAAAAGGGAAAGCTGGTGTATTCAATAAATTCTTTCAAATGTATTTAGTGAAAGATCTGGAGAGATGGTTTATAAGGATGTTTCAACTTTCACTGAGAGCATGGTTGATGAGTTATCATGTTCAGTGGCTGACGTTTATAAAGTTCTTAGTTCCATTGAAGTAAACAAAGCGAATGGTCCTGATGCAATTTCACCTAGAATCCTGAAGGAATGCGCTGCTGAGTTGGCACCATCAGTAACACAGCTGTTTAATTTTTCATTGGATCGTGGCAAGTTACCAAGTGTCTGGAAATCTGCCAGTGTTGTTCCAATTCATAAATCTGGTGAACGTACTTTGGCTGAAAATTATTGGCCAGTTTCTCTAACAAGTATTTTAGTGAAGTCTTTGGAGCGTATCATCCATAAACATATTATGAAGTTCTTAGAACATCATAGACTGCTGAGTGTGAGCCAGAATCGTTTTAGAGAAGCTTGTTCATGTGTCATTAAACTGCTTCAGCTGCTACACTCATGGTACATTTCTCTTGAGAAAGGTGACTCAGTCGACGTGGTCTTTCTGGATTTTGCAAAAGCCTTTGACAAGGTTTCTTATCATCACTTGCTTTATAAGTTGCAGTGTTATGGCATTCGGGGTCAATTGTTTTCCTGGTTTCATGATTATCTGTCAGATCGTACACAAAGGTTCATAATTGGAGGTCAGTCATCATAATGGATGGAGGTCTCCTCTGGTGTTCCTCAAGAGAGTATATTTTGGCCACTTCTTTTCCTGCTGTGTATAAACGACTTCTCCCTAAGTGTAAGCTGTAGCACAGCTTTTTGCTGATGACAGTGTACTCTATCGTAAGATCGCATCTGAAGATGATTGTGTTGAGTTTCAGGATGACCTCTTGCCTGCCACCTCCTGGTGCGACTTCTGGAAGGTCACGCTAAAGTCTGAAAAGTGTAAGGCCCTACATGTTACCAAGTCTAAATGTCCTTTAGTTCATCAGTTTATGATAAATGAGAATAATCTGTCGGCTGTTGATAAACATAAGCACTTGGGCATTTGGATTGAATCTTATCTAAGGTGGGACTCTCATATCAATTTCATTGTTGGTAAGGCAAATCGAGTGTTGGGTCTAATAAGGAGAACGTTTGGGTCCAAAGATCCGGTGGCAATCAAAACAGCTTTTAATGCTTTAGTTCGTCCTATTCTGGAATATGCTGTCCAGTGTGGAACCCATATCTGGTTAAACACATACACAGTATTAAATCCATTCAGCGTCGTGCTACTCGATTGATATGTGGATCTGAGAAATCTTTCTCTGAAAGGCTCACTGAACTAAACTGGTCAACATCGGAGCTTAGAAGGAAATACCTTTGCTTGGTTCCACTTTACAAGATAATTCATGGCTATTCATATATCGACTATACCACATATGTGGATCTGACTGGCCCGACGAGAACAAGGACTAGCCATGACTTTAAAATCAGGCCTAGAGCAGCAAGGACAAACCATTTTAAATTTTCATTTTTTAATCATTACGTTAATGACTGGAACTCTACCAAACTCCGTTATGTCTGCTTCCAGCTTGAACTCTTTTAAAATTTTATTACCTAATTATCTTTGTAAATAGCCATATTTTATTATTTCTTACTGATTTTGGATTTTCGTTTTATTATTATTATTTTTTTTATTATTTAATATTGCTCTATCTTTTATTTTTGGAGAGCAGTTTTTATATGAGAATTCAGTTTCCCCCTATTGCTTTCCTTTATCAACTGTACTTTTATATAATTATATTTATATTTTTTTGTTGTGCATTGGTAAAAAGTATCATTAAACTTAAACTTTGTTGGGCCCGCTATGTCATGTCGTTTTCCCACGAATTTTAATTATGTTAATGTATTTTCTTTGTTTGTGAGGACATTACTAACTTGTGGTTAGTCGGTCACAAAATTTTGAGCCTAAGCGTCGATGTTTTCGCGTGGATTTTTTCCTTTTGTAGCTTTGTCGTTCAGTTTGATGCGGTTGCATAAAGAAGTTTTCAAGTATCGAGTATCATCGATGTATTTGTATTTGCTTTTGACTGAGCGGTGAAAGGAAACAGTGGATTAAAACAAGATTTACTAACAATGTGAGGACTAGAAATTTTTGTACCAAGTGTGTGACCTTCTTGTCAAAGTACATCACAAGTTTTCTTTTTTTCATGCTTTGATTTATGCAACTTTGCCCTGGAAATCACACGAAATAGTATTTCTGAGGCCCTAAAACAAAAATTTTCCCCAGACCCCGCTAGAGGCTTGCACCTTCGGCACTCGTCTCACTATACCATCCTGCACATACCTAACCGGAATATTTACACTACACCCCTGAAACACACACTAACAACATAATGACTCTCTACAGTGATACTAAGTATACAGGCAAAGGACGGGTACCAACTTGTTTTATAATCAAATGTCACAGAACAGAAATTTTTAGAAAAACAAATGAAACATCATAGAAAGGTACCCTTTGTTTTTGTCCAAGTTCATTCGCGGAATATGCAGTGGCGGAATTAGGGGGAGGGTGCAGGGGTGTGCACCCTCCCCTGAGATGACCTGCGGCTTTTTAATAGACCATTTTACAGTTTTGGGCTAAGTATATTTGCCTTTGAGTAGACGTGAGGCTGAGGTTGGCCTTGTTTTGAGACAGACCTTTTTCCTTTTCTTGTGGAAATTATGCTTAAAAATACGTAGTTAGCATAAGAAAGGCATGATTTATATTACAAAGCAAAGAGCGTTGTATCAAAAAAAAGGTCAGCCTCGTTTTCACCTGTTACTGCAAAATGGGCTATTAACACTGTGCAGTCCGCTTCACAGTTATAAAAAATCTGCTGTATCGTTTGATATGTATTCTCAACAGCTAACATTATCTTATTGCTTAGTAAAAAGCCTTCTTCTTCATATTTGCTTATAAAATTTGTTTACGTCACTAATCAGTTACGCCATTCCTTAGTGGTACACTTTCTCCTAAGAAAAATCCCGAATCCACCCCTGGAATGCATGTAACTGTTTCAAAAAAAGCATTTTGTACAGGAATCCTAAAGCGCATGCATCTATCCCATAGATGAGCATGGGATGATGCAAATTGTACAGGCTCCGGTTCCTGAAAAGCCGATTAATCTATCCTCTATCCCGCTGATAGTATCCCATGCTCTTTTTGCCTGATCTACAATCCTCGTCAAAAATCTTGAAACGCTTGTGTGCGTTTTCCCTTCCCCAATGTTGATCTGGGCATTACAGCGGTCTCAGTGCTTCAAAATACGTGTGGCTCAACATTGGGGAGGTAGAGGGCACATTACAGTGATAACAAATTTGTGAGGAGTTAATCTCAAGAATTTTCTAGAAAATTCAAGACAAGCGGTGTCTGTTTCAAGAAATAACTATCGCACTATTCGCCAAAAATAAGGGGAGAGGGGTGGTGTTGCATACTTCAAAACAGAAGCGGGTGAAAATTGCTCAGATGGCCATGAGGACGACGTTTAGCGATTTTTACATAGCA